GAATGTAATTCAAAAGGAAAAAGGACAATAATAGAAGGCGTAATGTCAGGGGGAAGTTAAGGTGAGTGTGGGGAATGAGGAAGGGGTCTGAATATGATCAAAAGTCAAATTTAAAAAGACAAAATAAAATAAACTTAATAAAAAGTTAGCTACAGACAATACATACATACATACATAGGGTGCAGGAGAGATGGAACAGTGGTAAAGGAACTTGCCATCATGCCTGACAACTGAGTTTGATCCCTGGGACCCACTTGGTAGCAGAAGGGAACCAATCACCACAAGTCTTCCTCTGACTTTCACACATGCGTCGTGGCATGCATGTGGGAACACACATACACGTACATGCTGGCACACACACACACACACACACATACATGCACAATGTAATTTTTGTGTATATTTTTACTGAATTTTTGTGCATTTCATATAACAGATCTTACTCAAATTTTGACCTCTCCCCAATCCACACCCCATCATAGAATGCCCCCCACTGGATTTCATGCATTCTGTCATATATGTTAAGGCTTGATGAAACTTCCTCATACAAATGAGTGCAATGCACACAGCAGGCCACAAGTGACCAAATTTTAGAGAATAAGAGACTGCAAAGTGTTTTTCCCTGAAAAGGAGTCCTATATATAATTGTTTTTAATTGGTGAGTTCTAAAAACATTTTTCCTTACAGACCCCAAGTTCTCCTAATTGATTCAACAATTTTCTTTGCCCCATGAACTTCCATGCTACATTCAAAGATTTTTTTTAACCCCTGGAAGCACCACACAGACTTCAGGAGTATTGTCTCTGAGTAGTTCCAAGCTCTCTAATGCTTTGAAACACGTACTAACTACCTTGATGATTTGAATTCTGACTTTGGCATTACCAATTCAGCAAAATTTATAGTCTACATTTCTAATCATCTTTCTTACATTGAATTCTGGAAACTGTGAAAATCAGGATATGAGCCTGACCAGTAATCATTTAATAGTTTTTACTTCTCTCATATTTTGTTTATACCTATTTATTCCTGTTCTTTTTTCATATGTGAAACAAAACAATTGTTTTATATAATTTTCTCAACTACTGTTTGGATGCCGAGGAGTCTGTGAATAAACATATAAGATAAAGTAGGTTACACTATCTGATACACAATCAATATGATTTTACCAACATATGATGATTAATTTTGTCAACCTGACTGGATTAAGAGAAGTCTAAAATTAGTTAACATGCCTCTAGGTGTGACTATGGGGTGTTTCCAGGGAGTATTTGCATATGGAACAGTAACTGAAGGGAGAGAAAAGAATCCTCCTGAAATGGGAGACTCAGTCCAATAGGCTGATGGTCTAGACTGGAAAAAACAGGAGTGAGGAAGGCAGCGTGCTACTGTATAAGCTCCTCTTCTTCCTGAGTGTGTATGTTGTCTACCATCATCTGTCACTTCAGATTTCCAGATGTTTAGAACTTTCAACATGGACCTAACAGGAATGATTTTCCAGGGAGGTTCCAGGCCCTCAATTCTGGATTGAGACTACAGGACATCCTGCTTCTTAGACTGACTACTGGGTTCTTTGCATCTCCATGACAGGGGTGGTCATTGTTAGACTACTTATCCAAGCTAAGTAAAAAATTCTCCATATCATACTTACACACACACACACACACACACACACGCACACACACATATATATATATATTTTCCTCTATTCAACCATGAATATGACATAGTAATTATATTTCAGCATCTCTATGATACATGAATGAAAATATTGAAAAATAAGTATTCCTTCAGGTTCATCTGGGTTGTTGACAATGTAGTATTCAATAGTTATCACTCCTTTACTAGGAATTGCCATGGAAAGACCTCAGAATTAAGCTTTCAGTATCATGTAGATAATCAGTACGAATGCCACCATTATTGAATAAATCCTTGAAGAATTACCTAATGTTGACGTTTATAGAGTTGGGAAAAATAACCACACATAAATTCTAACAGAGATTTATTAGATATTCAGTTTGAAGAGAGTGTCTAAATATTTCAGGACTGGAAATAAATAATTATAAACTTAAGGTGGCAGGAACTGTTCATGGTCCTAGAGATGTGGAAGTAAACCATATACACAGAGAATCTTTATGCATTCGTGACATTTCAGTACCACAAGATAATACACAAATTCAAAGTAGAAAGACTAATGGAGAAGCAGAGGATATGCTAAATTATACAATCACAGCCTTAGATTTTTAAATACTGATTAGGTTGCCAAAGTAAGATATAGAGAATTTAAGATGGATTTTAA